TATAAAATAACAAACAGACGTAAGAATAGATACAATTATTATAACTAAAAACAAAAATACATATGAAAACAGAACACTAAAATAAAAGTACCTACTTGACAAAATCAATAGCTGCAAACCTCGCTACAAACAATCATTATAATACTCCTCCAGGCTGTAATAAGACCTTGCCATCAATACACTCTTTACCCTCTTCCTGAACCGCGAGTATGGCAATCAATTGTCTATATTCAGTGCCCAAATGGTTATACATCTTGAGGCCTTCATATACAGGGTGTCACGAAAGGTTTGTTACAAACTTCTAGGGATGGTAGATCTCGTAAAAATAAAGCTTTTTTCTTAATAAACATGTGTCCGCAAATGCTTCGCTTTCCAGATACAGGGTGTTAAACTTTGTAAAAAAAGCCAATTTTTTTATTAATTCTTAGAAATGCGTTGTACGAATTAAATGAAATTTTCATAGTTTGTTGACACTTTTATGAGGTATCTTTTGGACTGCTCAGAGTTGACCCAGTAATTCCAGGGACGTGCCACAGGTTTTGTGGGATGTTTTTTTTTTGCACGAAAAACATCGTCCAGTAGATTTATTTTCAATTAAGATATGTTTTTTCAATAGAACATTTAAAGATATAACTTTTTTATCTCCTTATTTTTTTCCGTATGCTGCTTAGTTTTCGAGATAAAATTTAAAAACCATCTTAGGCTAACCACGAACGGCACTGACCTCCATAAATAAAAAATAAATTGCCACCGAATTACCTGAAATTTTACCAGGCTATTTGTTGCTTAAAAATAAACAAAAATTTTTTTTTCTAAAACGCTCGCACTTCTGAGAATTAATGTAAAAATTGATTTTTTTCACAAAGTTTGACACCCTGTATACAGGGTGCCCCACGATGGATGGCGTAACAGACGTTTATGGAGAACTAAAAAGCAGATCATTTCGAAAATTTGGCAACCGGGATAAACGATCCTAATCTACAATTTAAAAATATTTTTGTTTATGCGGCGTTGCCGCTTCTACTCTCAACCAGTGGCAACATCGCTATTTTAAATGAAACACCCTGTATGTGATTGCATATTTGGATTCTACGTAAAATTCTGAGCAGATTTCATGTGATACACTCTATACCTAAGTTCAACTGTTTTGGAAATTTTGACAGTAGAATATGTTTTTTTGCAACTTTGACAGGCTGTAAAACCTGAACGGTTAATTTTAGAGGAAAACCGATTTCACATTCCTATCTTAGATTTTTATAAACTATCATTTGACACCAACTTTGAATTTAATCCATGATTAAAAATTCTAATTAAATTTAATCTCCGATTAAATTCAAAGTTGGTTTCAAATGATAGTTTATAAACATAATCTAACATAGGAATGTAAAATCGGTTTTCCTCTAAAATTAACCGTTCAGGTTTTACAGCCTGTCAAAGTTGCAAAAAGTCAATTTTCAACTGTCAATATTTCCAAAACAGTTGAACTTAGGTATAGAGTATATCACATGAAATCTGCTCAGAATTTTACGTAGAATCCAAATATGCAATCACGTACAGGATGTTTCATTTAAAATAGCGATGTTGCCACTGGTTTAGAGTAGAAGCGGCAACACCGCATAAACAAAAATATTTTTAAAGTGTAGATTAGGGTTGTTTATCTTGGTTGCCAAATTTTCAAAATGATCCGCTCTTCAGTTTTCCATTAACGTCTAATACGCCATCCACCGTGGGACACCCTGTATCTGGAAAACGAAGCATTTCCGGACACATGTTTATCAAGAAAAAGAGATCTACCATCCCTAGAAATTTGTAACAAACCTTTCGTGACATCCTGTATAATGGATTTTTTTGTAAGTGTCATTCTGGTAATAGGGAGACGTAGATTTTGGTTTGCATTTATCCTTGTGTTATGTAAACGGTCGGGGACCTCAAAACACGATTTTTTGTGAATCAGACACACTGTTTCAAGAATAAATAAAGACACTACTGTCAATATCCCCTGTGTAATAAACAGTGGTCTGCAATGTTTCCTCACTCCCACCCGACACTTAAATCGTATTGCTTTTTTCTGCAGAACAAATATTGAATTAAACAATTGATGATTACAAAAGCCCCAAAATGTTATACCGTATCGAAGGTGCGATTCAAAAAGTGAAAAATACACCATCCTTGCCGCCGCGGTACCCAATTCGTTGGAAACGACTCTAATAGCAAAGCAACCAGAAACCAGCCTAGAGCTCAATGATGAAATGTGTCTATCAAATTTAAGTTTGTTGTCTATGAGAAGGCCAAAGAACTTAGTGACTGGTTCATTTTCGATTTGCTGATCATTTATCTTTAAGTCATTAAAATTAAAACCAAAAGTAAGTATATTAGTTTTAGCGATATTTAAGCTGAGAGAATTAGCATCACACCAACTTTTGATTTTTGGTAAATCCGTAGTTATCATCTCCCTGAGATTATCGCCTGTTTCCGCATGCCATAGAAGGGTGGTGTCGTCCACGAAGAGAGTGAACTTACCCCGAATATTCACCATCGCAAGGTCATTAATATATATCAAGAAAAGAACAGGTCCCAACACCGATCCCTGCGGTACACCATAGTGACATACCAAGGGAGCCGACTCATCATCGCCAACTTTCACCACCTGAACCCTCTCGAAGAGATATGTTTTGAACCATAGATTCGCCTTTCCTCGTATACCACAGCGGTGAAGTTTCCGCAGCAGCACTTCGCGATTTACGCAGTCAAAGGCCTTTGAAAAGTCGCAAAATACTGCTGCAGCCACATCTCCGCCATTCAGACTTGTGTAAAGGTTCTCCAGAAGCGAAAAGATTGCATCACTCGTACTCTTAGCTCTTAGATGCTTGAAATCCAAACTGCGAGGCGGCACATTAAATGCCGATAGAAAATGAACCAGCCTCGATTTCACTAGCTTCTCAACGACCTTCGAAAGGGTGGCAACTAGCGATATAGGGCGGAAATTGGATGGATCTTCTCAAAAAAACTAAAATACACGCTGGGGTGCTGTGTTCCACATTTCTCATACATTGAGCACCCCACGCTTTTTTGACAATAATTCTAATATTTTTTGTTCATTAATATTTTCTGTTTACCTATATTAAATAGTTATTTTTGTCACAAGTACCAAAAATGAAGTTTTTCAGGACGAATCATTGCTGTTTCCAGACGAGGCATTAGCCGAGTCCGGAATAGCAGATGAGTCCTGAAAAACGTTTTTAAGTACGTGTGACAAACACTATTTTTTGTCATACGCTTTTTAGAATTCTTCAGAAAGCTAAAATTTGCAAAATTTCCTTAATTTTTGAAATCATAAAGGTGCATCCAGAAAGAAAAAAAATCCTAAAAAGAAGCATTTTACGGACTTGAATGAGTCCGTAAAATAGCTGTTTTTGGTCTAGTTCAATTTACTATAAAAGCGTGTTTTTTAGTTTTTTTTAAATATATTTATTTTTCACTTTTTAGTTCGGCGTATTATAAAAGCGTGTCAGCCCCAGAGATTTCCAGACTTTTCCAGACATTATCCAGACTTATTCAGAGATTTCCAGGTTTCATCCAGATTAATCCAGACTTGTACTGACTGATCCGGATTCTGGAAAATGATCCCCAGGTCTTTTGGGACCTTTTCCAGAATTTTTCCGCCCTTTTCAAAAATTTCCAGGCCATTTCCAGACGTTTCCAGAGTTTTACAGACATTATCCAGACTTATCCAGAGCTTTCCAGAGTTTTCCAGACTTAATCCAGACTTTATCCAGACTTGTTCAGACTGATCCGGATTCTGAAAAATGATCCCCAGGTCTTTTGGGACCTTTTTCAGAATTTTTCCAACCCTTTCCAGAAATTTCCAAGTCTTTTCCAGACGTTTCCAGAGATTTCCAGACAATAACCAGACTTATCCAGAGTTTGACAGACTTTATCTAGATTTATCCAGACCTTATCCAGACTTGTACAGACTGATCCGGATTCTGAAAAATGATCCCCAGGTCTTTTGGGACCTTTTTCAGAATTTTTCCAACCCTTTCCAGAAATTTCCAAGTCTTTTCCAGACGTTTCCAGAGATTTCCAGACTTTTCCAGACTTCATCCAGATTTATCCAGACATTTTCTAGACTTTTTCGTTTCATCGTCTCAAATTACTCCCAACGATTCTAAAGAAGTTTTCACTTCAAAAAACTATTTTATTAAAATCTAAAGTAACATAAGGAATACGTGAGCAAACTGCTACAAGTAATACTCGAAAACAAAAGCTAACTACTGGCGTTGAAGCGTTCTTTTATATAAATATAGAGTTTACTAAGCAGTTTCTGGATAAACAACACCTGCAAGGAAGGGATTTCCCATGATGCGTTTACATTTTAAGTTTAAATAAACAAATGATCTAATTAACATTACTAGAAGTTTGACAATCTAATTATTATATCTCAATACCTTCAGTGTGTGTTGTTTTGTTAAGTGCATTATTATTTTCTCACGTCATATCACACTCAAGGTTCTTTGAATTGTGATAGTATATTGCTGTTCCTGACCCTATTAGGCAATACCAGTCAAAAATGCTCTAAAAATTCAAGTACCTCAAGAGATTCCTAATAAAAAATGGATGAAATTGAAAACCATCACCACTTAGATGTGATCTTCACCATTTTAAAATAATTAAGGGAGTAAATTGGATTGGAATTTAAGTAGGTAGGTAGGTACCTTAAGAGGGCCCTATTAATAATTCTTCCATTGCAAATGCAATTTTCAGCAATCAGAGTTGCCAGAGACCAAGTTAATCCTAATATTATTTCAGTTTAAATTTGTCTTCGAACTCTCGAAATAGTTCTAGAACGACCAGGAGGTTTCTTATGGGAATTTCTATTCCTCTCAAAAAAAAACTCATGAATTTTAGAGGTATTCCTCTCTTACAAGATAAAAATAATTTTGAAGAATTTTCCAGCTAAAAGGCAAGAAGTAGGTATCTAATATACAAAATTACAGCCAGTTGAATAATAACCAAAATTCTCGAATTATTTTTATTTACTATAATTATTTGGCAACAATTATTATAATTTGAAATAATTCAAAGTTATACTTCTAGTGCCATTTGGAACCTTTGCACTCAAGGACTCCCCCTGAAAAATCAAACTATCATAATCCACTCTTGAACCAATCGTAAAATTTAAATCTTGAGACATTTTTTGTGTAACTTTCGTCGTACAGATATCCGTGATTATTTCGGGAACAATATTTTCCAAAGGATCGTCGTCCACTGGAATCCTTGAAGCTTCCCCGTTTTTGAGCTTTTTAGCCAATTCCACTGCTTCTTCGTGTAATTTCGTGCCTATGCCACGTTTCCTATACTCTGGACGAACTCCACACAAGAAAATTTCAAAAGATGTTTGCCCTTTGCAATGCTCGAGCATTTTTTCTTCCAGATTTGTCAAATATTCCAAATAGTTTTTAATTATTAGGCCTTGGCTTGACTCAAGCTGCTTGTCATAAGTTAAAGCGTGATCTTTCTCCTAAAATTGATATCAAATTAAAGTAATATGCAATCTCAATATTGCATATATGTACTCCTGCAAATTTATTTATTAATACGCCTGCAATTTTTCCAGTGGCTTTATCCAGAGCCACAATGGAAACTCCATCTTTGGCAGCACCTAAAACAATAGGATCCATGTATGGAAATAGTTCTGGATGCTTAGATAAGCCCATTGCAACAGACATATTTTCAGATGGCCAAAATGATGTGCGTATTACTTCCATAGCTTCTGGTAAAAGGTTCTTGGTAAGTCGAACATATTCGAATGAATCTAATAAGAAATTTGAGGTACAGTTAGAATTAATTTTACATGCTTGGTAACTGTAACTTACCACCTTTTTGGTCTGGCATGTTTAAGCAACTTATGTAAGAGTGAGTATTTGACTAGTTCATTAAACGCATAGCAACAAGGAATTAAATATTTCCGTAGTAAACGCATCTGATAAATGAAAAAATTTCTGCAGTGAGATAAGATAAGAAAAAATTGCTGTTTTGACAAATAATTAATCTTTATACTGTGAGTATGTACTTGTGTTGAAAAGAAATTCAGAACTCACCGGCGTATACAAGGGGGGGGGGTAATGGGGGTAATTACCCCCCATCGTTGCGATGGACGAAAAAAATGTAACCTTACAAATAAATCTATTTTTTATATTTTCACTTTTCAGCAACTGGCCCTAACTTGTTTTCTAGTTTGTACAGTGTCCGCACTACCTGCATGCCATTTATAGCGAATTCTATTCAAAGGGATAGTGCACACTGAGTGTATTCGTATCTTTCTCTACCTTGCACAAGAAAGAGATAATAGTATATTACATACCGAGTAGGGAAGTGTTTCATTACTGTCGAGAGATTTATATAGTCAATCGAGACGCGAAGGGTCGAGATTGACTATTAATCTCGAGACAGAAATGAAAACTTTCCTCAGAGGTTTGTATACTATTTTATTTGCAAGCACACCATTAATTATGATTAGTCATTTAATTTTTTTAATAATAAAAAAATAAAACAAACATGCCAAAAAGTGTCATTCACTGCTTTGACGTTTTCACCTGACATGTTCTCATTGTTGCCAGCAAAGGTAAATAAATTAGAGTGAGGGAAATCGGTGAGGGAAGTCGAATAGGGAAATCGGTAAGGGAAATCGAAGAGGGAAGTGACACAGGTAAAGTGTCACTTCCAAATTTTTAAAAAGTCAGTAATGACAAAATTACATATATGATTGCAAATAAATACATTTTTTGTATTCATTCTACCAGTAGAATTCGATATAATTAAAAAGTTTTAGGCGAATCTCATAGCGAATTCCATTGGTAAAATCGGTGCAAAAATAGTTATTTTCCTAACAAGTGCGCAAAGTGTTACTTTTCCGCACGCAAACACAGTTATACGAACGACGCGAAGCGCACGTGTTAGGAACAAAATTTTTCCTACGAGCTTCATATCAGGCAGGTAATAACAAAAAATTTTAAAAAAAAACGATAATTTGTTTAATTATTTTTAATTAACTTGAAGGGAGCCTATGCATTTATCAAAAAATTACATAACAAAAAAAACTAACAGAAAATCCTCGTCAGAGCTGTTCATCTTGAAGCGTTTAAATTTGATGAGAAAGTTTGTAGATTTTTGCATATAAATAGAGAACAAATTTGACAATGTGTCAAAGTTAATTTATATTTGGCGTTTGTATAGATGTTGGCTGATATAGAAACAGAGGAAAAATTTGTCATCATGTGTCAAAGTCGACAGGTGCACTTATTGTTGCTTGACAATTATAATTACTTTTCGGCACTCAGTGCGGATAAGGCCTGTATCCGCACTGAGTGCGGAAAAGTGTAACTTTGAGCTCGGAAATGCGTGCGGAAAAGTACTACTTTGCGCACGCTCGTAGGAAATAGTTATTTTCCTAACAAGTGCGCAAAGTGTTACTTTTCCGCACGCAAACACAGTTATACGAACGACGCGAAGCGGAGTTCGGATACGTGTTTGCGTGCGGAAAAGACACTTTGCGCACGTGTTAGGAACTAAATTTTTCCTACGAGCTTCATATCAGGTAGGTAATAACAAAATTTTTTTAAAAAAAAAACGATAATTTGTTTAATTATTTTTAATTAACTTGAAGGGAACCTATGCATTTATCAAAAAATTACATAACAAAAAAAAAGAACAGAAAATCCTCGTCAGAGCTGTTCATCTTAAAGCGTTTAAATTTGATGAGAAAGTTTGTAGATTTTTGCATATGAATAGAGAACAAATCTGATGTGTCAAAGTTAATTTATAATTGGTGTTTGTATAGATGTTGGCTGATATAGAAATAGAGGAAAAATTTGTCATCATGTGTCAAAGTCGACAGGTGCACTTATTGTTGCTTGACAATTATAATTACTTTTCGGCACTCAGTGCGGATAAGGCCTGTATCCGCACTGAGTGCGGAAAAGTGTAACTTTGAGCCCGGAAATGCGTGCGGAAAAGTACTACTTTGCGCACGCTCGTAGGAAAAATGTATTTTTATCTCTTTCTTATACAAGCTGGTAGAATAAGATACGAATACACTCAGTACGCACTAACCATAGATTTTAACCCTTATTCCAATGGAATTCGCTATCAGAGTTCGGTTTCGTTTTTGTTGGTAGTACAGAATATATTTACCTAACAAGTGCGGAAAATGAATTTTTCCACACGAGTCTGTCGTTCACCGAAAGACGCGTAGCGGAATTCGGTGAAGTAGCCGAGTTCGGGAAACAGATTTTCCTCATGTATTAGGTACTGGGTGTTTGTTCATACCTGGAACACTCAGTAACTTTCTTATTATTGAAAATAAAATGCATGTTTAAGTTGGGAATTTTCTTGGTAAATTGCAGCTTTAAGCGATACAACGATATTTTTTTGTGGTCATAGGTGTACAGGGTGCGTTAAAAAGGTATTTTTTTTAAATGGAACGCCCTGTATATTTTTGTTATTCAAATAGTGTTTGATATTTTTGTGAAGCTAATTTTCTAAGAATTTCAAAAATGCAAAAATATACAGGGTGTTCTATTTAAAAAAATTACTTTTATTGGCGCACCCTGTATACCCATGGTGACAAAAAAATATCATTGTAGCGATTAAGATCGTTGTAATTTACCAAGAAATTTTCCAATTTAAAAATGCCCTTTATTTTCAATAATGAAAAAACAACTGAGTGTTCCAGTTACGAACAAACACCCTCTACAATAGTTTTTCTACAGACGTGCGGAAAAAAGTAGGTACATATACCTACACTACATAATTTGTAGTAATTTATGGTTTTTTTTTTTTTGAAAATATTTTTCCGCACCGATATCCGTGCGGAAAAAAATTCACCGCACCGTGCGAGAAAATCGATTTTCCGCACTGTTTAATTGTCCTCACTCTCGTAGAAAAAAAAATGTTTTGAAGGCTCAGAGTAAACGCTTTTGGGCGTGGCACCTGGAAAAAAATGGGGTCATTACCCCCCCCCCCCCCCAGACGCATGGGCTGGATACGCCAGTGTCAGAACTAATCCGGTAACTTTTTTTTCGAACTCAGTATTGTAATTAAGCAATTTCCAAAATTTTCCAGACTCAATCTTAACAAACTGTCATGTTCGTTATACAAAAATATTACAATACGTGAGGAGTCGGGAAATTACTTTTTTTTTTGATGATTTTTTATAATTATTTGCCGATAATTATAATCCAGGAGGCAGTGAAATTTTCTAGCACCTATTTTTCCAGTTGGTGTCTATTAAATAGTTTGTTCTCCTGGTGATACAAAACAAGATTTTTTGAGTCTGACTAAAATTTTCCGATGGGTTCACAAGATCAATGAAAAACACAACTACACTTATTTTCCCAGACATAAATATTTCACATTTACTACAATGGAACATAAAGTATATGAAAATAGCAATTTGGCTTATCTCAGATAGTGGAAAGTGAGTCGGGCTGAAAATTTTTGGTTCTTCAATTTTTCACTTGCCAGACATATTATCCATACTCACAGATTAGCCGGACTATTTTTTTACGTAACTTCAGCATACTTCTCATTAGTAGAGCTATTTTTATCACTGAAAAAAAAGGGCCGTGCATTCGTAAGCTTTACCGCATTTTGCGCCTCAACCCATCGGAAAACCCCCCCTAAAAATATATGAATTTTGCTTAGAATTACTAACCCTACAATTCTATCCACGTTGTCTAACTGGGAAAATAAATAAGTGCCGAAAATCGTCACTGCCTCCTAGACTAATATAATTTGAAATAATTCAAAGTTGTAGCAAATGCGCCCAAATACTCTTTTAATTAGTTACATGGTAAATGGCGATCGGTTTATTTCCTTGGGCAGCTACTAATGAAATTGTGGAGGGGGTCTATTTGCAAATGAGAGAAACAACTGTAGTAAGGTTCACACAATTTATACTTTATTTTACTTAAATAATCAAAAACCAATTTGCCAGTACAAAGTATTAAAACTAATATGTTCCCAAAGTCTTATAGCCACCTCTCCTCTTTGTTTGCTAATTCAATTTACTACAAAACTTCAACATCCTACAAGATACTTCCTTTATTTTTCGGAACTTGAATTATTTTTTTATGAAGCGCTACTTGGAATTCTCGCAATATCTTATAACCAAATCATTTTTACTCTTCTACAGAATACTAAATGGATTCGATACATATTTTAAATAAAACTACCATTACCTTTAATAGGGTACTTGCGTGAAAAATTAAATTGATTATTGTTTGTTGTTTGTTGCAGACTGTAGGAAATCAAAAAAAAATATCGATGCGTGTTTTGTTTTTGTCCTAGTACGATTATTCCGGAAGTTATTGTATACTGAGCATGTGCGACGGCATGGCATAAAGTTATATGATTAGTGACGTCATAGACATATTTCATAGCGTTGTATCTCCGTCAATTTTTGACTAAGAAAAAAAATAAAAAGCACGGGTTGACTTATTTTTCATCGACTAACGAAATCAGCGATGAAAAAAAATTGATGCAAGTACCGTAGTAGAAATTTTAAAACCCCTGAAGTGATTTACTGACAAACTTATACAAAACATTTACATATTTATAATCATCAACCTAAACTGTTTTTTTTTCCCAAGATAGATTTTGACATTGTCAACTTTGAAATATAAACAATACCGCTTGGCCTTGATTGGTTGCAAAATTACGTGTCCCTGCAGGTGAGGTATCCTTTTACAGAGTTGGAAAACGATACCTTCGACGAGTGCAGGTACATGGCATCTTGCGACCAATGAGCGGCATTGTTTATGTTTCAAAGTTGTCATTGTCAAACTCTATCTTGGGAAAAAATACACTATAGTCAGATTAATTATTACAAACATTATTTTAATTAAACCCTTTCAATAATTCTGATTAAACTTTTAATCAAAAATTCAGAAATTTAGACAACCATCTTACTTCAAGTATACAAAACATTTTAATTGCCAACATTGACTTGGGGAATTATCTTTAAAAAAAAAACACACTTCACTTAACAACCATGGAATATGGATCGCACACGACGCTACTGAAAAATCAAGTCACTTCTTAGAAATATTCAATGATTCAAGTGATGAAAATATTATCACTTATCATAAAAAAGAATTCGACTCAAGAAAATGAGGTATTGGGTTTACCACTACATTAAAGAAATAATAAAAAGCATATAGGATTTGAACTATAGTATTTTTAATACCCATTTAGAATGGCCCTGTAGCAAAATGCCTCAAGTATACTATTTAATTAGTTAGATGGCAAAAGGCGAGCGGTATATTGATGGTGTTTATTTCCTTGAGCTGCTACCTATAAAATTGTGAAGGGGTCTATTCGCAAAAGAGAGAAACAAACTATTGAGGTTTACTAAATTATATTTTATTATACTTAAACCAAAATTTTAAATAAGCAAATATCTTTCTATTCCGACAGCCACTTCCATTTTTTCCCAATTCAAATTATTTCACATCCGTTCAAATTTCATTATTGCGGACCAGGAAATATCCCATACAAAAAAAAAAAACGCACTACTTCTACTATTCTTAATAACTTATAAGTTTATACATTACAACACTTCCGATTCACATTCCTATTAAACTACCCTTCACCTATATATCTATAAATTCTTAAAAATTCCTAAGTCCTTTACTGACTGTTTATGCAAACTAATTATTTAAGTCCTAATCCGACACTATATTTTTATAAAAATCTTACAATAATTTCTACATAAAACAAAACCTAATTCAAAATTTCAGCATTTAAGATTATCAATGTTTCTTCATTAACAACAAATTTCAAATAAAACCTTCCAATACTTCTAATGATTATCGACAGCAATTTTATTTCATGAAGAACAACAAGTTACTTTCTGAAACTTCCATTTTATTTAATGGTTTATTTAATCAGAACAATTATTGTTTTCGGATTCCTAGCCAATAAACACAATTATTTAAATAACTCCTACTCAAAATCGTATATTGTCAGGAGCTTAGAGCAAGTAAAGGTAAAGAGGAGTAGTAACCTGGATTTGGAAAATGAAGCCGTTTTTTTTCCAGGTATTTTGGCACCAATAAAATGGCGGTATAGGCAATTCAATGCTTTACCTGTATTTTGGTGCCAAACACCTGCCAAAAACTTGGCTTTACTTTAGTTTCATAAGCAGAATGGCACGTTCCTACTCCTTATGTCTGTAGGACAGCGCTTTACCTGCTCTAAGGTCAGGAGCATTATAATTTTCCCCTAACAGACCTATCTATTTTTACCTGTATGCGCGCGCAACACGAGGCAATGCATTTTTATTGGCTAACTAGTACAGGTGAGAGATGTTCGTTTTGCACGCTGGGATCTCCTCATCCTTTTATATCGCCCATGGTCGGAAAAGGATAAATATACGGTTGATATTTAACTTGGCATAGCTTGACAAGTGTTCGATTTTCAAGGCCACATCATTTTGATTAACAAATACGTTACAGAACACGCGGTCTTTCTCTTTCCCTTTTCATCCCCTGCAAATAAGAAAGACGGATTGCTATACCTAAGTCTAAAATAATTTCGTACGTTCTGCCTCGTCTTGCGCAATAAGCGTTCTGCTTCTTTTTTTATCTAATGGAGTTTTCGTATTATTACCTCTATGTCTGGTAAAATAGATAGGTCTATTAAAGTTATGCAATAAAGTTTTTCCAGTCAAAATCACTCAAGTTTTTATGCATTAAAAGTCATTGTCAATTCACTTCTTATCATTCAGAATCATTGTTAAAAGTCAGAAAAACAATAATAATCACTAAAGTACTTACATTTAAATAGTCACTCGATAAAATAATTAATTTCTCAAAATTTTAGCTAGAGCACGCACATAACAACGGAAAGATTTGACTATTTTCTTCTACGAGATATTCACTTGAATTCTGCCTTTTCCGAGGCTTTTTATACTGAGGCAATTGTTGAGGCTAGTCTCGACAATTGAATTAAGATTGATTTTCATCTTTAACGGCCGTCCCCTTTTATATTATTTTTATTCGCCCACTTAAATTGCCAATATGGGCGGTCGTGACGATCTGTAATTCAATTATATTAGTCAATTATTCGACCTATTATCCGTTCACAATCCGATGTCTACAGGTAGGTGCAGGTAAAATCACCTTTCAATGCTATTTGATAGGGAAAGGTGATAAATTTACCTGCACCTGTGGACATCGGATTGTGAACAGGATATAGATATTATTCCAAAACTAATTTCATCATTTTTTTAGAGGATGATGCAACCTGTTCAAAATTTTTGTCATTTCTTTCTTTAAAACCGAATAATTATGTCGCAATTTCCTGGTTTATCGGGGTCAATTAATAATTATATAGCCTCAAATTGAAGGATTGTTTTCCAGTTTTCGTCGATTTGCGTGTTTTTCACGAGATAAACTAGAAACTAATCGCCAAGACGTCGCTGCATGTTGGGTTGCGGCTCTAATCACCGACGCATTACAAACTGGGTTAACCAGCGAGTTGCGTTGTGTGCGGATGCTAATTGAAATACACAAGCGGCAACTAATGAGCAACTGATTAACGATTTAAGTTTGTGAGACCCCAAATTCAGAAACTTGGCAAGATGTTAAATTGGCGAGCGGTGACTTTAGCTTCTGAGTGGAGACACAGTTTAATGTGGGTCCAATTTGTGGGTCGAGAGTAAAACACAGAAATATTGTGGTCAATTAAAATAAAGATTATTTTATTAAAATAATTAATGCTTGTTATTTATTAACAGGCGTCGGTAAAAATATAATCTTACAATAAATTTGTTAGATTTCTAATATCAATTAACTGTTAAGGAAAATTTATATGATTCCAAATAAATTTTTTTATTTTTTTATTTACAGTTTGACACGATTCACACTCTAGCCTTCACAAATTCTTGCTGAACATAAAAAAACTCTACTTACATTTAACAATAATATATTTACTGCTGACCACACCTAATTACATGGAACTCTTATTGGTCGAAGGAATTTACTTTAATTATGAACACTTAATAAAAAAAACTCGAATATTTTCGTGCTGTTATTTCACGTCGTGCTTCTTCTCTCGGTTAATTCGACAACTTTTTCACGCCGTAGTTATGATTATCTGGACACAGGTCTCTCGATTCTCGATTACTACTTGTTTCTTGATTACTCAACCGACACTGGTCTTTGACGCCGTAAGTCTGCCGGTTTACTCGATCTTTCTCAAACACTGGTTTTCTCGAACATTGATTTTCTCCTGCCTTTTTATATCATTGGTCCCTCCATTGTCTTGAATCTCTTTATTCTTTCTGACCTCGATTTTTCGTGATGAATCATCCGATCAATTAGTATATTTGGTCCCCTTTTAATTAATTATCAAGGGCGTCGCTAAGTGGTTTGTTAAGTGGGTATCATCATATAGGCTCGTGCATGATTTATTGATCCTTTTGGAAATTTTCTCGTTTGGAATGTTAATTGTTGAAAGCACTTGAAAAAAGATCCATGAACTTTTGCTTTAGTCACACTCCAATGTAATCGGCTTTCAATAATTTCTGGATATCGATGTTCAGATAATTTTTGATTGAAGTTTCTGGTTGTGCTGTCTAAGTGATGATCTCTCCTGGTATGGTTGTTTGATAAGTCCTTGTTATTCTTGATTAAAATTTCTGGTCACTACAAGTTTCTAGTCAGTTTCTTTCCAGTTGCCTAATGTGCGGAACGGAAGGCTTAACAATCAAAGTATTTTTGTTTCGTTTCAATAGAAATCGAATAAAGATTTGAATTTACTTCTAACTTCTTAACTATAGTCAATATAGTCAATTAAATCCCGAATTTAATTTGGGCCCGGGGCAGAAATACAGAAAATAACTTTTTGGAGGAGACTCAAATCACTGTCAACTTCTACTGTTCTCTACTATCTTACTATGAATCAACTGCTGATTCTACTTCTAAATGTAGGTGTAATTTTTAATTGCCTCTTTCTCTCATTGTAATCTGTTTAAATAATATTCAATCCCACCATGAATCTCCGCATGATCTTAAGTTCATTCGCTACTATTTCTAGGAATCGCTATCTCCGAATGACCCCTGCACCTGCGTCTCCTAATCAAGTATTTATCGGAGTAATGTCGCAACAATTTCGTTTCCGTTTCCGCTATTCAAAAACGCCGACAGCGCGTGTACACAATTAAAGAAGTTAGATGAAGAACGCACTAGCCGCGAACCGCGGCGGATGGTGGTCGCGCGGTTAATTTATATAGGAATATATTGCGTTCACTGGCATATGCGTAACCGCGCAGATAAGCCTATGCCGACATCGGTTGCGGCGAACGCGGAGACCGCTCGGACTCGCGGTTGTCGACATACTCAGACTTTGTAGAGAGACTACGCACGACAATGCAAGTTCGCGCGGTTTCAAGTGATCCGGATAGAAAATTTTAAATTTGTTATTAATCCGCGATCTCCGCGACACCGCTTGTAATTAATGTCGTTTGGTGTTTAGATTTATGAGTTTATATAAAAGGTCAGGAATCTCGGGACTCTTCCTGTTGCGTAATTATTCGGGCCGCCTTCGGTAAAGATAACTGATGACTAGAGGGGGTCCATATAATAATAATTGTTAAATTAGATTTTGACCTTTATCGCTGGCTAAGCAGCTAAACAGAAAACTATACGTTAAATTATTATTATTTTAATTTGAACTTAGAGAATTGAGAGTATTTTATTCACTTTATTATTTTCCAAAATTATAGCTTTGATTGGTATGATTTAATTTAAGATAAAGTTAAGTGAATTTAAATTTTTCTGTTATCACTCGTGTACGTTGAAAGTTGTCTAATTTATTTTTTTTATATCAATCTTCCAATTTGGAATCAAGATTATTGATATTTTGAATAGGTACTTTCTCCTGATAAAACAACTGTGAAACTGCTTTAATTATTTCTATTTTTTTTTTCTTTATAGTCTGTTAATAAAGTAAATAATAATAGCCAAAACTATTTTTCCGAAAACTCCTCTTTTTCACTTTTAAATCTCTGTAATTTATGGCCCTCTTTTTGGGATCTTCAAAATGTATTAAGTGCTTGCAATAAATAAATAAAATTTATATAAGATAAAATTATTTTATCATCGTGACCTTGTTAAATTTAATGTAAAGTACCTAGATTGAAATGTTGTGCATCAATAATGATATAGCGACAATAAGATGTACCATTTAAAATTGCAATTTCATTATGTTCCTTATTTTGAAAAATGGAATACTTTTGATATTGATTTGTTACGTTTGAATAACTATTTTCTTATGTAATCGTATCAAAGAGTCTAGTGATTGTCAGAGAGATGGTGGGGTAATGATTGATTAAAAAGTATTTAAATTCAGATCAATCCAATCGCTTGGGAAATTGTTTGTCGAGGTTAAAGTAGGAAAAATATGTAGGTATTCTTATTGGATGTGTGTATTTATCACCTCTATGTGAAAAATATGAGCAATAGGTACTGCTCAGCTGTGGATAACATATTGATGAACAAAAAATTTGAAAATGTTATGCTCTTAGGTGATTTTAATTTACCAAACATTACTTGGTTAAATAAAGATTTTGGCTGCGAGCCGAGTGGCAGTATGACCCCAGAAGTAGAATGCATTGCAGAATTCTTTTTGTTTCTAAATTTTTTCCGACACAATCAAATAAAAAATATTTATGGTAGATAATGTTCTTGATTTGATTTTCAGCAATGTTCAAAAGGTCAATGTTAATATGGCTCCTGAGCCATTTGTAAAAATGTATCAAAAGCATCCAGCCTTGGAAATTAACTTCAACATCAAATCTGATATGTCTACTCTTTCATTTTCACTGGATTATTACTATTACAACTTTAAATCTGGTGATTATATGTAAATTTATCAATTTATTCTGGGCTAGCTGTGATTGGGATGCGAATTATCTGGTGTCCATATTGATACTATGGTTGATTTATTAATTCTACAGTAAATTGCAACAGGCAATAGACAAGTTTGTACCAATACACACGGCTAAAAAGTTTAACTTTCCGAGCAGGATGTCTAGGGATCTAAAGGATTTGATAGTTTTCAAGAAAATATTGCATAGAGATTTTAGGATTAGTGGTTCTATTGATGATTACAATAAGTTTTCTAGTAGGTAGGTATTCGTAGGGAGTGCAAAAATCTCTACAATCAATTCAGATCTGATTACTTGAATAATATTGAGTGTACAATCCAAAGTAACCCAAATGAATTCCGGAAATTTGCTAAGAATAAAAATAACACAAATTCCTTGCCGAATAGTATGAGTGACTATCAAGCATCTACCACTCAAGAAATTGCTAATTTGTTTGCCACATTTTTTGGGCAGATTTTTACACTGGTTGATAATTTGAATGAAAATATTTATCAACATCCTGATATTCAAGGTCTGTTCCCACAGGAGTCTCTGACAGTTTGCAACCTGTCAGAAACAATCGCTCAGCTGAGTTACAGATTTATCTTGTAACGACAGCATTGAAAACATGTATGGGCGATGCTTACTGACAGTTTGCAGACTGTCAGAGACTCCTGTGGGAACAGACCTATTGTCTGATCTCAGTTTGGGTTACTTGGACACTGAGATGATGGATGTGGTTCATGTTATTGAAAGGTTAAAAAAAACCTCAGGGAAGGGTCCAAATGGTACCTATACCACATGATTTTATATTCAACTGTCGATTTATTCTGGCCCGAATCAGGGCCGGCCCTACCATAAGGCGAACGGAGCGGGCGCTCCGGGCGCCAGGCCTCGAGGGGTGCTCCGACTCGTTCCTTGGTGATAAAAAAGGAAAGAAAGCAAGCGTGTGGTTAGCATGTGATTAAATAGACAGAGACATATTATATTACATAATAATATGTAATGTTTCCGAATTTTGAATCGGAGAGGATGGTTGATCTTGGGCAGCTTAAGCTATCTCTACTCCATGTTTTTTGACAGAATTTGCAAATTGAAGCAGAGTCTCGGTATTGGGCCAGATGGCATACCGTTTGTTTTCCTAGAAGGCTGCAGGTTTGTTCTGTCTCAAATTTTGTGTGATATTTTCAATATGTCATTGTCTACTGGTACATATCCAGAAGTCTAGAAAAAATCCTATGGTATTCCAGTTTTTAAAAATAGAGACAAATCAGATATTGAAAATTATCGAGCAATATCAAAGGTCTCCTTGGTAGCCAAAGTTTTTGAAGGTATTGTTGCAGATAAAAATCACGCCGCATTTTAAGAATGTTATTATCAATGGACAACATGGTTCATGAGGGGAAGATCCACCATAACAATGATCAAAATCCATGCTGGAGCATATAGTTCATTCATACATATTATAAGGAATTCATTTGCATTTTATTACTATTTAATATTCATTCATAAACAGGAGCTGAAATCCAGCAGTAGGTAGATCTTAGAGGTAGATAGGGAGATGCGTGGGTTGTACTGTACTAGCCCAATGCTCTGCTTTTTTATTTAAAATTGGCAACCCACTTTTTTTACCTAATGACATAGGTAACTATTCCCTTTTTTTTCTTCAGTATAAGGGGTTATGCACGTGGCCGAACACAGTAAATGAGGCAAATAGTTTATTGAATTTTGAGACATTTCTTATATCGGTGAATAGAGTATACGATTCACATTTAAAATAGGGGCGCCAAAGTAGGATCTCGCTCCATCCTAAAAGTAACCTCGGGCCGCCACTGGCACGAATCTTGCATAAAACCCTTTCTAATTCGTTGAGCTCTGGAATCTTTTCTTAGAAATGGAAGACAAGTTTTGTTACACCTATGTGATATTTGAATTTGAACTTGAAATCAAATGAACATTATTAAATACATATTGCGCACGAGATCGCGCATGACCATTGTCAAAAGATACTTCATCTAATAAACCCCTTTCTGGTCTGGCTTGCACCGAGCAACATGTTTTTTATTTTCGCTCCCTCACATCGATAATTTTAAGAAATAAAATTGAAGTCAAATATCTTTATTAAGTAAAAGTAGCAAACAAAACAGTGAAAATACGATATGGTGTCAGAATTCTCGAAAACACGCATCTAAATTAAGTAAATTCGGCAAAATCGCGATAAGTTAAAGCAAGCTGAAAAGAAAAAAGAAGCATCATCATCATGGCGTCAGGCAAAGAACACGCAATCCCGCCAGGTGAGCTGAGTTTCAATGGGCACATGGCTGAAAATTGGGCATTCTTCAAACAAAAATTCGAAATATATCTAAAAGCTAGCAAACAAAATGGGGAAACAGAAGAAGAAAAAGGTTTTATCTTACTAAATCGAATTGGAGATAAAGCCCTAAAGATTTACAACAACCTTCAATGGAAGCAAGGAAAAAATAAAACCCATTGCAAAGATATAATTGAGGCATTTTCTGAATATTTCACTCCTACGAAGAACATAACCTACGAAAGATATATTTTCAACACAAGAAACAAGAAAGAAGAAGAAAGCTACGACGACTATGTCACAGAGCTGAGACAGTTAGCTAGCAGCTGTGAATTTAGTACCCTGGAAGAAAGCCTGATTCGAGACCGTCTGATTTTGGGGATTTCAGACATGGCCATGAAGGACAAACTGCTTCGGGAGAATAACCTCACTCTTGCAAGGGCACTGGAAACTTGCAGGACTGCAGAAGCAACCGCGAAAAGAATGGAAATCATGGGAGAATCATCCAAAGGTCAATCAGAGGTCAGCATGGTAAAAATGGGCAAAAAAGGCGGCAAATTCAAGTTTCAAAATGGTCCCTCAACGTCAAACAAGGAGCATGCGCATTGGTCGCAGAAACGTCAAGAACATCAGGGATTTCAACGTCAACATGGCGGCCATAGAAATAAGATAAGTAAACATCCTAACTCTTCAAATTTCTCGCAAAATTTTAAACAAAATTTTATTAATAATTGTTACAAATGTGGTACATCGCACAAGCTAAATGCATGCCCAGCCTTTGGTAAACAGTGCGAAAAATGTAGCAAATTTAATCATTTTTCTCGAATGTGCAATCGAAAAAAATTTGTAAACAATGTAGAACAGCAAAATTCTTCCAGTTCTAGCGATGTTTCAGACGATGAACTCAGCATTTTCACCATAAAAAACAACTCTGTAAGTAATAATAAACAAAATTGGATACAAAACTTATACATAAATAATAAAATTAAGGTACCATTTAGATTAGACACTGGCGCGGATATTTCTATTTTACCTTTGCATTATTTTAAACAATTAAGCATTCCTGTGGAAAACCTAGAAAAACCAGACGTTAATTTAGTTGGTTATAGCGAGGGAAAAATTATTTCAATGGGAACTATTTATTTGAAAATAAAGCAGTGCAATGTTAAATGCAAAAGCGTGAAAATTAAATTTAATATTGTAAATACAAATAAGCCACCAATACTGGATGGAAATTCCTGTGTATTGTTAAAATTGATAGAAAGAGTACCTGAAAATTGTGTAAATAATGTGAGCGTAAACAAAAGCTGTGATAAATTAATTAATAATTATAATGATATTTTTCAGGGAATAGGATGCTTGCCAGGC